ATAAACATTGCCATTTGGTGATTAAAAAGAAAATATAGTTTAAATAAAATGTAATTTTATGCAGTACCAAAAAAAAAAAAAAAAAAACGACTGCTATTATAGGTATTATATTAAAGAACATGATACTTCTACTGATATATTAATTTTATTAAAAGTCACTCGAGTATTTAAAAGTATAACTGCTATAAGTATATAAAGTTCTCTGTAGAAATTGGCCATTTTAATCGGTGGCTGCGGTGTTTAAATGTAATCAACTTCACTTTGAACCTTTGGATTTATTATTAAATTACTTTCCACTCGACTGTCCCTTCTGATGGGAATATCGTACTTAAAACTGGTCAACAGTTCGAACTTCCTCTTTTGCTGTTGTATTGTGCGATATATAAATATAGTATAATATATGCTATACTATAATATACACCATAGTAATTTAGTATAAAATATAATATAATAATATGGTATAATGTAGTAATCCATGTAGGGTATAGTATAATATAATACAGTATATATAATATAATATAATATAATATAATATAATATAATATAATATAATATATAGTATAGTATAGTATAATATAGTATATAGTATATAACATACATACTATGCTATATACTATAATATACACCATAGTAATATAGTATAGTATATACTATAGTAATATGGTATAATATAGTAACTCAAGTAAAGTATAGTATAATATAATATAATATAATATAATATATAGTATAGTATAGTATAATATAGTATATAGTATATAATATATATACTATGCTATATACTATAATATAGTAATATAGTATAGTTTATACTATAGTAATATGGTATAATATAGTAACCCATGTAGAGTATAATATAATATAATACACTATGTATAATATAATATACAGTATGGTATTGTATAACATAGTATATAGTATACAATATATATATATACATATATATACTATGCTATATACTATAATATACACCATAGTAATATAGTATAGTATATACTATATTAGTAATATGGTACAATAAAATAACCCACGTAGAGTATAGTATAATATAATACACTATGTATAATATAATATATAGTATGGTATAGTATAATATAGTATAACAGTATATAGTATACAATATATATACTATACTATATACTATAATATACACCATAGTAATACAGTATAGTATATACTATATTAGTAATATAGTATAATAAAGTAACCCATGTATAATATAATGCACTATGTATAATATAATATAGTACATAGCATAGTATAGTACAATATAATATGTAGTATGTAGTATCTGAACAGACGCCCAGAGCGAAAGCTACAACAACGACGCAACAAGAACAAAAGAATTTCAGAAAGAAGAGAACTTCGCAACGCAGCACGCGTTTCCGTCATTTCGTCTGACACCCAGTACGTGTTACGCGTACGTACACAATAGGCCGGTTTCCGCAAGACAAGACGGCCCAGAGACAGAGAGGCGCGCGCTCACAATCAGTGCCTTGCACCCGCGCCGTGTGACGTGTTCATTAACCGGCTGCGTGGCAGAATCGAGCCCGTACGCGTGAAGAGGGGCAGCGGTGACGTGGGAGACGGCGGGAGGGGAGGAGGTAGCGGAAGAGGAAGAGAGCGTGGAGGAGCGTAGTATGTAGTAACGGTAGTAGCGTATCAGTGGGCGGAAGGGTGGGGAGGAGAGAGGTGGCTCGGCCCGGTTGGCGCCAGCCAAGGGGTAGGAAACGGGTAGGTAACCCGGCCGTGCGGTGCCGTGCTGGCACACATGCGCTCTGCTCGTCGCTTGTCGCCACTGTGAGTCAAGGTCTCCCGGAGCTGACGATCGACCTAACCTAACCTCGCTTCTTTTCTCAAGAAGAAACCGACGACTGAACAGGAAACGGCGATATGACTGAGCATTTCCAGCGTCCTGCCTCTGCTTTGCACTTGTTTTTCGCCTTTCTCTTTGCTTTAGGCTTGCACTGACAAGTCAGTGTTACCAAAGAGTTCCCAAAAAGCCCAAAAATGAAAATTCCTTGCAATCTCTTGTACTAGCCAAAGTGTTGACATCTTTGTCAAAATTAATATTGATTTCTAGTGTCCAGACACAGACATTATTGTACAATTCTATGTATTTTAATTGTTACTATTTAAATCGTTAATACATAACGACTTGACGTAGTGTCTGTAGTATCTATTTTACATGTTGCTATTCAAATTGTTGCTATATATGAATAATGTATACGTAGCATGTACATTTTTTCAATAAAAATCTAGCTAGTTTTAGCTCGTTAAAGCTGATTAGAATTGATGAATTTTTAATAGAAACATTTGGAAAAGAAGCAAGTGGTCTCTAGACATCCCTCAAATCACGCTGAGAAGGAAGTCGTCGCAACGATATCGCGTCGTACGCCAACCTGTGCGTTTTCCCCGCAAGTAGTAACGTCGCGTACATGTCAGACGCGTCTGACGCTTGGTCGACAAACGCCACGTTTCAACTACTGAAACTCGAGTAACTTGAGCATTTCAGAGGCATAGGGTGGCTCAAAAGTTTCTTCCCACCCATTTTTTTTTTTTTTTAAATAAAACATCAACAAATTTTTGTCAATGGAAATATGATTTCTTAATATAATATAATATAATTCCTAAAACATCAAAAAATTTTTTTTAGTGGAAATATAATAAAAAAAATTACGAATTTATATTTATATATTATATTATATTATTATATATTAACATAATTAACCTAAACATGAGGTACGTACAAACATACCTTGGAAAATTTTGTGGAAATGAAAATGTAATAAAAAATCACGGATTTATTTCAGCAGGAATTTATTTTGGCCCACCCTGTACATACAGTGAAGGGCAACGAAAAGTTGCGGTTAATTTAAACTGACACAACTTTGTGAAAGATGATCGTACAGTAATCGTCTTGGTTTCAAGCTTGTACTTCGTGAATACATTCGGGGAATTTGATCTTTTCTTTTTTTTTTCCGAAGTTTTATGTCAATTGAAATTATCGACGATTTTTGCTCTTCACCGACGAATATCTCGCGACGAATCTCACACATATGGAAACCGAGCCAGCAATAGTCGTCGTTTAAGAGTAAATCGGGATGGTAATCGGTGCGATTACGCTCAAAGGCGCGAAGATGAGACGAAACTGAGGATAACGCAGCGAGAAAGCTAGGGAACCTTTCATAGACTTGGGAAACTCGACCGATAATCACCCCAGATTCCACTTGTTCGTGCTAGTCGATATTCGATTAACTACTAACGGGCACGACTCGCCCGCGGGGATTCCCCTATTGTTCGGTTCCCTGTATCGGGACGACCGGATCGGGCCCTTGGATTGATCAGCAATTCCTACGGTTCGTATCCGCAGCAACATAATCCGCAGCCTATGGCGAACTGTTTACAAAGAGGCCAGCTGCCGTTCGTCGTTCTTTCGACAAAATAAACTAACCTAACTTAAAACTAAACTGAACCCAAACCCAAAGTCTATTCCTTCGTCCAAACATTTAATATGGATGTGTTATTACCCTGTGATGTAGGTTCCACCCAAGCCTAACCTAACCTAAGTCTAACCTAAACACTTGGGATCAATCTTCTGCTGAACATTAACGTACTATATCGGCGATGTTGTTCGTACAATCTTGCTGAAAGTACTGTACAGGATTAAACATCGCGTGATAAATTATTTTATTTATAATAAAAATAAATATTAACAATATAAATTATTACAATAATTTGAAAAAAAATTTTTCTTATAAATTGAGAAATAACCTTCGACGCGTAATGAAAAAGATCATGTTTGAACTCGAGTTTCAGAATAGAATCCGTGTTTTCTCTACGTTTTAACGTTTTGTTAAGAGGAACAGGTGGGACGAAACTTTTGGCTCGCCCTGTAGTACGAGCCAATTAAAGCTAGAAGTTAAAGCAACTTTTAGCGTATTGTTACAAAGCGAATTCTAACAGCTTAAAAGAAATCAAAACAAATACCAAGAAGAGTAATATTTTTAAATACACGTACGTGTATTTAGTAGTTTTCTTTCACGCGGTGAGGTTCAAAACATAACTAACCCTAAACACGAGGTAAACGTACATGCAAACGTACCTTGGAAAATTTTGTCCATCAAGTAAGTAAAATGAAGTAGTAAAATACTGTATGTTTGTACAATATCAGAAAAGAATATACTCGGAATGGTAAAATGTAAAGTTGTTTATGTATATGTATAATTTAAAATCAATATAATTAAACAGGATTTTACAATGAAAATATATATTTTAGCAATAATTAAGAATTAATAACATTATCAATAGTTCAAAGTGATGGAAATGAATTATTTAAAAAAAAAAAAATGAGTAAAATTTATTTCGTACCTTTTGTAATCAGGGTTGATCAATTTATTTTAATAATTTTATTTATCTCGAAAATAAATTATCTCTCTTTCTCTGTCTCGTTTGTGAACTACGACTAGACAGGTTAAAGATCGTTTATCCTGAGTTTCACCAAGTCATAGGCGTCGTGGACGCTGTTGACGCGATGAAATATCGAGACAAGTAGCAAGGGTGTAACGTCGACCGTGTTAGCCCGGTATTACCGGATCTTTTCGCGTATAATTTCGAGGGTAATTGCGACAATGTTGCCGCGTGCAGCGAAGAAAGACACGTGAACTCTTGACCTGACCCTTGTGATGTAAAAGGACAATTTAACAGGATACACCGGGGGCTCTAACGATATTCATAAATTCATGAATGTGGCGTTTCGGGTTAGCCTGGCCGCGGAGCCAATGAATTTACTGAAAACCTGGACCTCGACGATGTCCAGGATTTTGTTCTCTTTACCAACAATGAATATTTACTTGTTTCTCCGTCGGAAATTCTCTCGCTTCCTCTCTGTCTGCCTTTCTTTCATAAAGCACTTACTTCTCGTTTTTTTCGCCTTTTTCTTCTTTTTTTTTTTTTTTTTTTTTTTTTTTTGTTTCGTTTTTTTCTTTCTCATTGATGGATGATGCTGTGTTTTGTCATTGACGGTGTTTACTCTTACGTTTGAAATCTGCGAATTCGCGTGTGTTCTGCGACACGTTACGTTACGTTACGTTATAATCATCGTGTTCGTCCCTTGTTCAGACACCCTTGAAAAATGTGTCGCGATCGTAAAGTGTGGACCGGACTGGGGCACCGGTACTCTAATGGATGAACAAACCGGAACGTTCATAACGTGCGCACATGTTGTCGCAATGGTATAAAACTTTTCTTTTCTTACTTCTTACTTTTGTTTTCACATTCTTTCCTTTCTGAAATATCTATATTACAACGAAAGCAATTTATTCCCTAGCAATTTATTCGAAAGTTTTTGAATCTTTTTGCTTAATTGTTTCTAGGCGCCGGAAAAAAGGATTAAACTTGCAACGTCACACGCCAATAGATACGAATGGTTCGCAGAAGCAAATTTAATTTATAAAACATCAAACGAACAACCTTACGATATTGCTGTATTGAAGATTGATCGAAAATTCAAAGAACCTTCGATGAAAGCTATCAAACTTGCCGATAGAGATGCGCAGAAGGGTAAGGCGTTTGACAATTATATTCTTGTCAGCTTTCAGCAAGTCCCAAAAGCTCGTTTCCCGCCTAAAAATACCTATTATTAATATTATAAAAGTACACGAAAATAAAAATACAAAAGAATTATTATTCTCGGAGCGAAAAAAAGTTCAACGTTGTTCGTTACCGATCAAACAAACTGCTGACGTGTAATGAAACGAAAAAAGACACAAATGTATTGGTGTCATCACTAGCGCAGTTCGTATTAACAGTTATACAACAGTTTGGTTGTATCAAGAATCGAGGCTTTTTTTTTATAACGCATATCCACACCGTTGGAGGTTATTCCGGTTGGTTAACGGTAATGAAAATAAGAATTAAGAATATAGGAAGATCATCGTGTAGAAGGCGACATTATGGCGCCATACGTTGCAAGGGACAACAGCACTGACCTTCTTTCATTGACGGAAAAATAACTAGGTCTAAATTGAGCCAATTGATCGTTGAGGGGCTGAATCGACATTTCGTTGATATCGAACAAATGTTGCGGGTATCTATCCCTCTTCTCACACACACACACACACAATCTCCCTCTCTTTCTTTCTATTTATCCAACTATCCATCTGCTTCCTTTCTTTCACTCGTCTTTCAAACTCGCTTCAATTGAGTCTAATGAGCCTCTATTATTAACAACTACGAATTAGGTACAAATACTAACCAAATTAAAAGGATTTCTTTGGACATGTATCACACACGAGCGTGCACGCACACAGTTTGATAATCATAAGCTATGACAAAATAATACGGTTTTTTCGTAGGGGAACAAATACTTTCTATAGGATTTCCAATCTCTTTGAAAGGACGACCCACTGTTAGTAGTGGAGTAGTATCAAAATCGTGGAAACATATGTTTCAAACCAATTGTTGCGTGTACAGTGGCGTTAGCGGTGGGCCCATTGTTCGACGCGCCAATTTTGAAATGTTAGGGATAGTGGTTTGCAATGTTGCTTTATCGAACGATTCTCTTTTATATCCACGATTGTGCATGGCAATACCAACTGTTGTTCTGAAAAACCCGCTGGATGATTATCTACGAACTGCCGGTACTTTACGTACGAATACACGAATATTTCCATTGATTTTTACGTAAATCGTAAGAAAAACTATTCCCAAATTTTCAGATCCTAAAGCGTTAGAAGCATTGACACAGTATGATGAAAGCGTTGCAGCTACATGGAATTTTTGTCCTTTTCTTCCATCAAACATATGATAAATGAACAATTTGATGAATAAATAACGTAAATGGTGAACAAGGTAAACATACGTACGTAATACAAGTATAAGAAAATAAGCATTGTAGACTGTTTTGATGTACAGTGTGTATTATCATGCAAGATATGTTTTTCTGAGTAAAAATGTATAAATATATAATCTATATATATATATATATATATTTTTTTTTTTTTTTGATAAATTTATAAATAAATGTACAATTTTTATAAACTCCATTCGTTAATAAAAAAACACTTCCGTTAATTTACATAGAATAATTTTATTCAATTTACACGAAAGGTACAAAAGATAAAGCAACTTAACAATTAACCGATTTACTGATTCATTTATATGCTTATATATAGAAAGAGATATTTACTGTTTAGTTATAAATAAATAAATATTATATTTCCCTGATAGAAGAATTTCAACCAAACAGAGATTTCAGGAAATCTGTTCTATCTGTTACAGATTTGCTTTCCTTTTTGCTTCTGATTTCAGCATCTGTATCCCTTTGTTTTATCATAGGTGGTACAAATGTGCTATTCTCGTCTTGTCGCACTTGATGTAGTTTTCTACTTCTGTCGACGTTGTGCGAATAGAAGTTTGCCTCTCGTTTTGCTTGTGCAATTTCGGTTTGTAGTCTTTGTTTATGTACTGCACGTTCATAAGCTAAACGTTCGCTCAGATGAATCCACTTGAATCTAATAAACATTATAAGATTAAACTGTCATTTACATGATAAATTGGAAACAATTTCAAAGTTTTTAAAAGCGCCTATAATTTGTTACCTTGGAAGATATTTTATGTTCCAAATAACATCATAAAATTTACTCTTTTTTCTAGTTGATATTTGGGTATTGTTTAATGTAAATGCAACATATTTTGCTATTTTCTTACTTTCAAATTCAACCCAACCTTCAGTAAAGAACTTTGTATAAACTTTCTTTTGTTTCTTCTTTCCACCATTCCGCTCCAGTTCTGTAGGAAAGAAATAATATAATGCACATTCGTTTCGAAAATATCTCATTATTATTATTAAGCACATGCAGGTAAAACCATCTAGAAATATTTCTAATTTGTAAGTAAAATATCAAATAGAGGTTATGTTATATATACACGTGTCTCGAACCTATTTTAGTCATTTATGCGTAATAACTAACCATTTTCAGCTAATTGTAAATAGATTCTTCCAACTTTACCGTATGCAGAAAATAATTCACGAATTTTCGTGATATTCATATATTTAGGTATGCTAGATAAATATACAATACCCCGTTTCCGTTTTTTTACTTTAGCTACATTATTAAATATTACACCCTCTGTATTTTGGGTACTTTCCATTTTTATATCGTTGTTTTTTGAATCATCACTCATTTGTATTCAATTTTTCTAGTTTTCCGATTTTATTATTAAGCTGTATTTACATTCGATTTTTCAGTGAGTGAAAATTAACCCCATCTCTTGCACGAGCAACAAACTATACAAGATGCTCAAACACGACTCTCTGCTACTTCCCTAAAACACTGCATTTTGTTTTATTATATTTTCGTAATTATGAGATTTACAATACTCGTCTTTCGCTTTTAGTTTATCGTCACTTCAAATTTCATACCAATACTCTTAATTTCATATTCTATTAACAGTATTGTACTGAGATGAACTTTGATTTTTTATTTTTCAATTTATTTAAACTTGTATATAATAATATCTTTCAAATTTGTTCTCTTTTACTATTACTGTAACAATTTTCGTTTCCGCATAAAATTTAACAAAAAAGAAAAATGTATATACATACATATATATATATACATACATATATATATATATATATATATATATAAGAAAAGATAAATCAAAATGCGATGCATGTATAATGTAATGTAATGAAAGGCATAAAAGATATTGAGAACATGACTTGGAGTATATTGTACACGAGAGAAATAAAAAATAGTTATGGAATTGAAAAGAGTAAAATATCGTCAGCAAGGATTGAACGTAGTGTGTTTAACGCGGTATAGCGCTACTGGTTTGCTCTTCTCGTTGTTGCGCAACGAGAAGCGCGCAGCGTCTCAGTGTGTGCAGAAAGATACAAGTGCGTTCGTAACATCATGTATCGTTGAGAAACGTTTCATTTTTCAACTAGCTACGTTACTTTGATCAAAGTTTTATGGACCGAGTTCCATACGAATAATTCTCCTATGGATTAGCTTAGTAACAACGAAACAGCGACGGATGTCCTAAAATTTTTGGGAAACGTTACTTGGCTGACTTAAACAAAATGGCGACTATCTTTTTCTTGGCGGTACTGTTTACTTGACCGTGAACGTTATGTTTTTTACAGAGTGTGACATTAAAAGTGTTGTGTATTTAACTTCTTTACTACTAATTAATATCAGTCTAATTTGCTATTTTAAAAAAATTTTGTGCTGCCTATTATTTTCAAAATCCATTTTCGTAACCGTGCACTAATAGAATAGGTAATAACGCGATAAACGTGAACAACACGGTAATACTATATGGGTATCACTTCTGCCCTTTGATATTGGTGTATCTCGTTCGGCGGCTTTTATTACACATCAGTGGAATTTTATTTTCGTTTAGATAGGAACGCGGCTATTAGTTGGGATTCTCTTTTTATCTCTTCTATCTCTATACTATCCATCGATGCTCGTTCGAATGTTATTCTTCTATTTTAAAAGCGTATATAAACTTTCACTCGTTTGGCGACTTATTTTTGAGACGGATACGACGGACTCGACGTCCTGCAGTTGTCATTTTTGATACGACGATTTGAAAGGGTAAATATCACGAGAGTGATTTTCATTAGCTTATAGAGAAAAATGTCTAGTTCGTACATTATTGAACCACAAGAGAGTGGCTCAGGAAAGAAGGATGATACATTGATTATCATTGTCAATGACGATGGTACGATATCTGTTGACCAAGAAACTTTGCAAAGTTTAATCAGTAAGTTACATTAGTTATTCAACTTGTATCACCAAGCTCAGACATCAAATTTAGTTACCTCAACTTTTAGTGAATCAGGCCAATGCAAATGTCAGTGTTGTTAGAGTAGGACAAGCAGATACAGACGCTGAAAATGGAGATATCACGTTAACTGTAGATCCTCCAATGTTTACATCAGCTACAATTAATTCTGGTGGTACAACTTCAGATGCAAACAGTTTGGTTGATCCTTTTATGGAAATGGATCCAGAACAGTTGGAACGATTAGAGACAGCTTTACAAAGTGAAGAGGCGAAACAAATTCTTGGAGAAAATGTTACAGCAATGCTAGGTAATAATATTGATTCTATTCCATATTCTGTGTATTGAAATTATATTAACTGTCTCAGCTTATATATATATATATATATATATATATATATTTATTATGTTTTGCTCGTATAAATTGCAATTGATCCAAAAGTTCATACTCATAGTCTATTGTTCCATGTGTTTTAATAGCACTTATGATTCGTACGTCCTCTGATTTAACACGGGACAGAAGTAACCGAAATTGAAAATTGTATACTTCTAACATAGGAGAGTAGTTTGTATCTTAATTACTATATAGACAAAATATGTTTCATTTACATGCAATGAATAGTTATTAAATGTATGGTATATTTATATTTACGTTTACATTTAAAGAGAGAGTTCGAAATGGGATTGTTAATTTATTTGGTACATTTCACAGATATGCTAACGGTAGAGGAACAACAAAACTCTATAAGGTACAGCGTTAAGTTGGATCATTGCTACACAAGTAGGCTATCACCTTCTGATCCAAAACCAAGGGATCCATTGCCTGTTATTGATTCACCTACTTCTGACGATGGTTTGCAATACGCACGTCAACATTCACCTGCTCCTGGAACATCTAAAACATCGTCGCCTATTGGTGATGTTGAAAATGCAGTCGCGATCAAGTCGAAAGTTGTTAGCAAGACTGTGAGTATAGTACCAATGTAATTTAGTGAGTTCTTGGAATCGAAAATTGATTGTTACGTTATTTGTTACAGGGTAAACCGGTTGGTCGACCACGAAAAAATATTCCCGCGTCTTCTGTTCCCATCTGCAATAGTAATTCAAGATCGTCGGCCAGTATAACAAGTACACCTAAATCTGTTGGACATCCAGTATCAAGGAATTTAATGCAACAGGGTATTGGAAAACGTAATCATACTGTGCTGTTCCATCAAAATTTATCAAAAAACGCAATTGACATCTTGTTAACTTTGTTACTTTTCTTTTTTTGTTTAGACCAAGGAAGATCTAACGACGAGGATGAAGAAGAATTAATGTCATCTACTGAATCATCAGATTCAGAACCACCGTCTGATAATGATTCAGACTTTGGTCCGCGAGGTCCTAGGAGAGGTGGTATAAGAGCTAGAGGCGGTAGAAAAGGACTTACTACTAGAGGAGGAAGTATGGTAGCTACTCGTAGAAGAGGTTCCAACAAACAAATGGATATGGAACAAGTACGTCGATTAGATATGGAAATGGCTGCTGCTGTGAATGCTATGAAGAGTTCAGAAAAAGATGAAAAATTGGGTAAGGGAATAGTAAAACAAATAGTGATTATATATTTCATGATTGTTATTTACATGAAATGATGATGACGAAAAGAGGTACGTTAATGATAAATTGGAAACTTTATCTTTTATTTCGGTAGGAGGATTTGGTCTCGTTAAAGGTAAAAGACAGCTTAAAACTGCTATTGGGCGGAAGAAAGAAGAATTGCAACGCAACGATTCATCTTCAACAATGAACCAAGATATTTCGGTTAATTTCGATAAACCTTTGCAGACGACAAATCAGGTTAAAGCGAATTTGATTAATGCTAATATGATTAAGGGTGATATGATTATTACAAAACCAGGACAGGGTAGAACTAATCAAAAAGTTACTTTTATACAAAAACAAGTGCTTATGAAGCCGAACGACCTTAAAAATATCGACGTGAAGAAACAGATGATTCTTCCTAAAGGAAAATTTTTAAATCAGACTGGAACCAAATTTTTCGCTACCAAAGATGGAAAACTGGTTCAGATACCCGTCACTACTAAAACTATAACATCGAATGTACCAGTAACGCAGATGAAAGGAACCATATCACAAGTAACATCAACACAGCAGTCTGCCATGATACAAACTCAAACGTCAAACGTACAACAGCAACAACATTCTCAACAATTGGCTAAAGTGACGTCGCCTACTGCTATTTCAAAAATAAAAACTTGCGATCCGAAGAAAGAAAAGAGAAAACCCGATGGTTTAGAAAGTATTACAAAAATAGAAATGGATTCCGGTAAAATAATAGAAAACAAAGTTTTTGATAGTTAGTAGTATATCTTATTTTTTCTATATATTTTTCTTGTTGATTATCTTGTATGATACTCTAGGTAAATATCAAATTTCTGCTTAAATTTCAATCTGTTTTTAGGCGCGAAAAAACATTCAAAGAAAGAAAATCGTAAATCACCAGCGTACATAGTGGACACTTTAGGACCTGCTCTTTTTTCAACTCCAGATATTATTCGGCGTGTTGGTACAAACGGTGACTCAAAAGTTCAAGAGAACGTAGTGACATCGTTACTTTCTACAACATCGCCCGCAGTTATTGTCTCTTCCGGGAATTCCCTTACGCAAGCAATACAATCATCGTCATCGTCGTCGACATCAACATCTTCTGCAACATCAAATCGTCCAGGTTTGTATTGTATTCGTGTATGTACAAAAAAAGTTGTTACACGTTTAAATTTATTATACAAAATTTTGTGACCAAAGGTATTATTTCTACTTCTATCGACCGAATTACACATTCTGAAATTTCCATAGCTATGGAGAAGAGGGAAAATAACGATTGTTTGGTAGAAAACCATGAAGCAGAATCTAAATCGGATATAAAATCTAGTGTATCAGAAGAGTTACAACCAACTTTAGATTCGGGTAAATATACTACATAATCTTTAACATTATAAACATAACAAAGATGTTGAAGCAGTTGTGTAACATGAATATTTTATAGGTGGTATAGAAGGCGAGGAACATTTATTAGCTACATTGGAAATGGAAGCCAGTAAACACGAAGAGGAATTATTAGCCGAAGCATTATTGTTACAAGAAGAACTTGGCGTTGATTTGGCTGAACATGTATTAAGATTTCTATTTTTAATAATATCAGTTTTATTTGAAGGCCATAGTATCGTAGCTTCATTTTTTTTTTTTTTTTCTCTCTTAAATAGAATCGTTTTTCTCCTTTCATTTTTAACTTTCCTTTTATCCTTCGACTCTATAGGCTACGCTTGTCGAACAAAGTGGAAGTGTTGCGACGGAAATAAACTCAAATAACATGCTCACTCCCACTTTGATCACGTCAGAACAAGAAAGTGTCAAATCTTTGGATGCTTCTGCAAGAGTAATCGTAACGACAACTATTACGAATCCAATGACGGTTGCAACAACCAGTGCAAATGTCAGTGCCAGTACAAATGTACTTAAAGAGTCAGTGAAAAAGTCTGCGAAAGACGATAAAGAACCTATTCAAATTATTCGTGGTGGACGAATAATTACGTTACCTCCCATCGAAGCACCAGCTACTAGAAGCAAACGATTACAGATTAAAACTGTCGAACCGGTACAAAAACCGTTTGAACCTGTCAAACGAACGGAAAAGTTCGGGTATGTATAGAATAAAATAGTCGAATAAAAATAATTATATAATTCTCGTATCACATTTGAAGAAGTTACAGTGCAACAATGCAACAAACGACGTCACTGCAGCCTATCAAACTCGAAGTTCATGCAGATGTAGATCAAGCTGGAAAAAATGAGAATGTAGTTCGAGTCGAAGAAGAAGATATGGAGGAGGAAGCTGAAGACGACGAGGCTGAAGAAGATGAAGATATAGAGAAAGATCGAAAACAGATTGAGGAAGAAGACGAAGAAGGAGGAGGAGGAGAAGAAGGAGAAGAAGGAGAAGGAGGAGAAGAAGGAGAAGAAGAAGCAGCAGAAGAAGAAGAAGAGGAGGAAGAAGAAGAAGAAGAAGAAGAAGAAGAAGAAGAAGAAGAAGAGGATAATTCGGATTCAGAAGATGATCCTGACAGACTTTGGTGTATATGCAAGCGACCGCATAATAATCGTTTCATGATTTGTTGCGATGTATGCGAAGATTGGTTTCACGGAAAATGCGTACATGTTAGCAAAGCAATGGGTAAGGTGAAAAAATATTCATCTACTTATTTATATAAATAACACGGTCGTACAAAGTATAGAATACATCACAATATATTGATTTTTGGTCTCTCTCTTTTTCTCTTTCTCTTTCTCTTTCTCTTTCTCTTTCTCTTTCTTTTTCTCTTTCTCTTTCTCTTTCTCTTTCTCTTTCTCTTTCTCTTCCTCTTCCTTATTTAGGACAACAAATGGAGGAAAAAGGAATTGAATGGGTTTGTCCAAATTGCGCCAAGAAGAAGGATGAAGAGATAAAAGCCAGACTGAATACTCAAAATGCTTCTGGAAAGCAACGGATTCAATCCGATACTGTATCTGAAAATTCGAAAAATCTTATCTCTGTTAATCAGGCTTCATTTACTGAAGAAACGTCATCCTTGATTCAATCTGGTTGTGATTACGGTGAAGTTCAATATTCTAGTAATATGCAGTGTGTCGTTTGTAAAAAAGAAGCCAGAAACTCGAGCATTTATTGTTCCGACGCATGTATACTTGCGCATGCTCAAGAAACATTGACCAAAGACAAACCAATATCAGGATCAACAACAAGTCCAAAAGGGGCAAGGTCGACACCATTTGATCCGGCCTTAAAGCAAAAAACCGATGCTCGAGTCATCGTTTTTGAGAGAAAGACTGGAAAAGTATTAACTGGTAGCTTATATACATCTATTCAAAATGTTTGTATCCGCGAAAAAGAAAAAGAAATATTTCCGTTTATCGTTATTGTTTCTTTAAGGTTCAGATGCTCCGACAAGATCAAATTTGCGTACGTGGTTAAAGGAACATCCTACATTTGAAATGGTTGGAACGAATAATCTTGGTGCACTGCAAATAGGGAAACCGATTACGACCATTCAAACACAAACACCTGGTAAAACAGTGAGTAAAATTTTCATCTCATTTACCTTCTCATAGTTGTATAATTTTTATTTTCGCGTTAATTGTTTAATAAAACTTTTTAAGGGAAAGTCTGCAATACTGTCTCCTGGGAAAGGACAGAATCTTCCGAAGATGACATACGCAAAAGTACCGGGTTCTAAGCAAATGATTTTAACGGCAGGAAATAAAAAATTTACACTTATCTCTAGTGGACACCAACAGCAACAGCAACAACAGCAGCAGCAACAACAAACTCAGCCGACAAATGCAAAATCAATACAAATGAAGCAAACGTTGTTGCCAGTAAACAAGAGTCCTTTGTTATTAAAAACTACAATGACAAAATTGATCACTCAACCGCAAACAAAGCAACTAGGTGTTGCTGTATCATCAAAACAAACATTGACTGTGAAGAAGCAAGAACCAAAGCAGCCAACTATACAAGCGAAACAACAACAAATTAAACCAAGTCCACAAAGAAAACCCGAAACCGAACCCATACGATTAAATATACGAAAAACTTTAACAGAATTGTTGTCTAGTCGAATAAAAGAAACTGAAGATTTGAAACTTACCGATGAAGAAATAGCGGATCTAGCTTATAATATCGAATTAGAATTGTACAAGTATTTCAAAGATACCGGTGCAAAGTATAAAGCCAAATACAGAAGTCTGGTATTCAATATAAAAGATACGAAGAATCTAACGTTGTTTAGAAAGATTGCCGATAAATCGTTGACGCCGGATGCAGTGGTAAGGTTAAGTCCTGATGAAATGGCTAGTCAAGAATTGGCCGAATGGAGGGAAAAAGAAACAAAGCATCAGTTAGAAATGATTAAAAAAAACGAATTAGATCTAATGGCTCAGGCTAAATCTATCGTTGTTAAAACGCACAAAGGTGAACAAATAATCGAAAATGATGGTGGTATCGATCATGTTGATCCAAAAACTCCCGTACAAGATATCGTAACTGCGTTGAATAGTGCTGATAGTATAAGTTCGACCGTGGACGATATGGAAAAAGATTTAGAGAAGGCGCCCGACGAGGAAAAATTTAAAGGCAAGGAAGATGCGAAAAAATCAAGGAACTTTGACGATAAGAAACGAAAGGATAAGGAGAAGGACAAAGATAGAGGCAGGGAGAAAGAGAAGGACAGAGATAAGGAGAAAGAAAGGGGAAGGGAGAAAGACAACAATCGTTCAAAGGGTGCAAGCGATAGACGTGACAGGAGTGTCAGCAGAAGTAGACACAAACATGGTAGAAACGATAGAAGGGAACGCAGTAAAACTAGAGAAAAGAGCAGAGAGAAAAAGTCTCGAGGTAAAGAAGGGAAGCACGAACGAGAGAAGGAACGGGATCGTGAAAGAGATCGAGAACAATCTAGAACCAGAGATCGGGAGAAATTGAAGGTCCGTGAAAGGAGCAGTAGAGAAAAAACTAAGCAAAAGGAGAAGGATAGAGAGAGGGAACGGGAACGACACAGAAGCAGTGAGAATATTTTGAGAAGTCGCAATAGCAATAGTTTTGTTTATTCCGAATCGAAGAATGTTGATAAAAAGGAGGAGGAAAGGAGGCGGGAGATGGAAAAGAAAGACGAATTATCAGGTTTAACGGGAACATCGGCTGAAAAAACAATCGAAGATCGACTTTGGCGACATATCGAGGACGAAGCGACTACCAACATCATCGATGGAAACGATTCCGATGTGTCGGATCGTGAGCCTTCTTCAACAGTTACTATTAAAACGCCCGATATTAACGAGGAAGTCGACAGAGAGAGAGAACAGGAATCATCGTCGACCATAGAGGGTGAAACTCCGAAAGCAGGAGGGTTGCAAACAGTTTGGAGGGGTTTTGTTAACATGGTGGATGTTGCGAAGTTCTTCATTACCGCGCAAGAAGTAAGTGGTCATGCAAAAGATTTAATGGACGATCTACCAGATACGGTTGACGTTGTTGGTAGAATAAGTCACGAGACTGTTTGGGATTACATCTCAAAGATGAAAAAAACTGGTTCGAAGGAGATTCTGGTAATTCGGCTTACCGCGGCGAACGACGAAGAAAAGATCCCGTATATAACGTTGTATAGTTATTTGAACAGTAGAAGTCGACTTGGAGTCGTTGGAAATGTTTCTAAAAATATAAAGGATTTTTATATAATGCCATTTTCAAGTCAAAGTACGATACCTCAGGTTCTGTTACCTTTGAACGGTCCTGGATTCGAGGAGCACAGACCGCATCTTCTTCTAGGCATCATCGTCCGTAACAAAAGAAAACGTCTTCCTGGCATATCATCCTCCAGCTTGCCGATGAAATTATCGAAAAAGGATACCGATCGAAGTTACACGCCACCCTTAATAAGCGCTTCGAAAGATAACAAGTCCATGAGTGGTAGCAACGCGGCGATCATCGCAGCCACGGTTACCTCCACGGCAACACCAACGATCCCGGTATCGTCGCCTTCCTCGGTAACCGCAACAAGTACATATCACAAAACACCGCCGGGAACGGCGGTCAGCGCGACCGAGTCTACAAAAGAGAAACAACATCCTGTCACGCAAACCACTCTCGACAATCTGAATAAAGCGCATATAGGAATGTCGAGAACTACGTTACTCGATACTGCGACTATATGTAAAATAGTTCCCGAATTGTCCTCAAAGATCGATCTCACTTCTTCTCCTGGCAAAGTTCCTCTCGAGGATGACGGCGACGAGCCGTACAGTCCCGGCCAAATGGACGAAGAAGATATTAATCTCGATTTGCGAACTTGTTCCACGTCGACGTCAGCAACTACAGTAACTCCGATATCTGCTTCATTGGGTATTCACGACGCTACTCCACTCGATAATGGTATCATTTCTTCCAGTAAAAATTCTACCGAACTCCAGCGGAAAATGGAAGAGTTAAATAGACAAATCGAAGAGCAGAAGCAACAAATACAGAGCATCAGCTCGTCGTTTCTTGGCGAATCAGCGCCTACTTTGCCGGTGAGGATTTTAACACGATTTATTTTTTATAAAATCAAATGTTGTTGTTTTTCCTTTTGCCCCACTACTGTAAATAAAATTGATTTCGATCTATCCGTAATATCCTCTTTTTATCCTCGATTATTCGGATTGTTACTTCTTGCGAACTTCTTGTCACTTCTTCATCACAGAGATTTTTGTTACGTTTGTTGCAAAGAGAGAAAGAAAGAAAGAAAGAAAGAAAGAGAATATGGGGGATAGAAGAGGGAGATATATTTTCTTTCTTTTCGTCCAACCTCGGCTTCGCATTCTTTTCCTTTTCCACATTTTTTTTTTTTTTTTCATCCAATCTTTTCTATTTGCACGAATGTATAAATTTTATTTAGGATTTGAAATGATCATACATTTGTCTATATTTTGGATTTGCCCTTGTTATTGATTAGTGTAATTATCTTGTAGCAAAAGAAAAGAAAAAAATGTATATGTTAATGTGCGAAGCATGAAGCAAGAAGTAAAAATCTGCCAGTAGCTCTGGATTCTTTCATTTTCGATCTTTATCTCAATTTTTTGGAAAGGAAAAAACAAACTGAGAGAAAGATCATGTTTCGCTTGTTGTAATTAATTATATCATATATTGTGTCATTGGCACTTAATTTTTCAAATACAAACTAACGATGCATTAGACATTGAGATTGGATGAGAAGTAGAAATGGAATTACAAATTACGTGAAGTATTTAACATTATTAGTTTTGTTGATTTCAGGGCTTAGGGCTGGATCCACCAGTCAGTGATGAATGCGAAGAAGCTTATAGCCCTTCGGACACGAGGTCGTTCACACCGCCACCGCCTCCGGGTATTTCAAAGCTCACTCAACCGATTCTCGAGAAGGTTTCAAATATAACGATACCGCCAAATTTACAAGAGATATTAGCAAATGTGAAACGACAAGAAAACTCGAAAGTAGACCCGTATTTACCATCTAAGCCAAGCGCCACGTTCCTAACTACTGCAAATTGTTCGATTTATCAAAATTCGGAAAAGTATTCGTCATCGGCTATGAAACTTCCAGTTGGCGGATCAAATAAACCCTCCATTTCGGAGAAATCTACGTTGGAATCCCCGTCTAATCATTGGGAATCTATTTCGAAAGAAAAAGAGAGTAAGAGTACTTTGAGTTCATTAAGTGATTTGGATTTGATTAGAAAAGCAGAAGAAGAATTAGCTGCTGTCGCAGCCGCAGCTGCCACAGTACCAGCAGCGTCAGGTAACAGAGTCACCGAAAATTCTACTTCATCGAATTTATCTACAACGACAGTTCTTTCATCGTCAATCGTAGGAACTGCTGCCTCCCCATCGTTAGCCCCACCGGCATCTACGAATCTATCAACCGCAGTCTCGACAACGGATCCTACCACTCACGAGGGAACTTCCTACAAGAGTCCTTTCCCAGAATCTTTCAAACGAAACATAGCTCCTGAACAGCCGAAACCTCCAGGTCTCGAAGACGAGGATTTCCCTCCGTTTCCATCGACACCACCAAGCGTAGTTGAAAACAATGTAACCAAAACGACATCATCACATTCGAAGTTCGTTCCAAAGAGTGGCATTGTGGTAAATGTTAAGCGGAAAATTAACGATGACACGCCTAGTTGTGTCCCGAGCAAGATATTAAGAGTAAAATCACGATGGGGTCAGGGCCCTTCAGAATCGATCGATTAGTCACTGTACTCGAACAAGGATGATGAGTTTTTCCAACGAAAGGTTAAAATTGCAAAGTATTTCATTTGAAAAGCTGATCGTTTATCGGCGACAAGATTCCAAACTTTTGTGCTGAACAGTGTCGCATAAAAACTAACTGAATTCGAGTAAATTTGGTACAAAGATATATCATTGCATTGTTCTTCGATGACAATTCCTCGGCTGATAACAATTAGTAAGAAATCATTTATTTTTTATCACATCATTGTGTTGGTCATGTTTTTGTACCAAATCAATTGATAGAAACGGTTTGTTTTACGTGTGTATGTGTGTGGGTGCAATGTGTGCGGCTGTGCGTGTGCGCGTTTGCGCGTGTATGTGCGTGCGTGCAATATTACGAACAACAGAAAAGGGAAGCAAGAAAGAACGTTGAAACAAATCAAATATATTTGTCGAAAATGTTTTGGCGCGTAAGACTTTGTAAATACGAAAGTGACAAAATGAAACACTCCTTTTCGCTCATTAAGCCTTTTGCTATGTGTATATAGTTTCACTAAAAATACTGTAATATATTGTTTAAATTTACTCGAAAGATTATATAATGCAGTGCATTCATTTCACATGTGCTGTGAGTGTGTGTGTGTGCGCGCGCGCGCGCGCGCGCGTGCATACATATATATATATACACACACACACATACATACATACATACTATATATATATACATATATATATATATATAAACGTATATATACTATATGAAGGCACACCACACACTATATATATGTGTGTACGTGTGTGTGTTAATTATAAGAATCTACGACCAACCAATAACTTTATTTTTTCCATCAACACGTTTGTACATTTTTTTGTACGATTGACTTATATATCGTGTATTTTAATGATTCATAAATAATTTAAGTTTGCAGTGCTTCATTTGAGTAATCAAATGTTTATGCAACGATGTAATCATAGATTCTTTGACATATATAGTTCAATTGTTTAAAATTCGCTAACGTTTACGATTTCATTTTCAATTCAACATCTATGGGAAAGTTAACCAAAAATTGGCGATCTCACTTTTTTCCTCACTTTCTGATGTTTATTTTAAGTTTGTATGTATACGTTGATAATCTCAGTGACACGATTAACGTATATTGATTCACTTGTACTATTGTACTATTATTCTTACATTATCCTCCGCTCCATTAAATTTCAGTTTATTCTCTCTGTTCTGTTTTCTTTCTTTTATCGATATGTTATTCATTCAAGTACGGTTATTTTTGTTTTGCTTGCAAATAACGTAGAATTTTACTTGAAAATTGTAGACCCATTAGATATTACAGTGACGAACACATGTAAATACGGTTTCAATTTAATGGCATACTGCTGAGCGTATGATATGCAATTGATATAGGAACTTATATTGATTGACACACAGTTTGTGAAATGTCAAATTCAATGTACGTATGTATGTATATCAAAAGGAGAGACAAGCGTATTGATAAAAGAAAAAAAAAAGTCTCGTGCAATTTTCATTATTCTTAGATCAAGTCTTAATCATTGCACGAATATACGCCCTCTTTTCATAAACTATATATGAAACCCCGTATACGTTTAGCTACATTTGTTTTATACAAATCAATTGTCGTTATATTTAAGTTTTGTACACATCTTTGAATAGTGTGACACAATAACACTTCATTGTATAATGACATCATTATCGCTTCCATTCTCGTTATTTTTATTATTATTATTATTATTATTATTATTATTATTATTATTATTATAATGATTACTATTATTATTATTGTTATTTTTATTACCAGTACCATCGTCATCGTCATCGATGTTAATAATACAAATAAGATCATCATCTATTTATCATTATCATAATTCATATCGTACCATAGTTGTCGTTACCATAATTCTACGTTATAAAGTCGATGATTAACATGATTTTAATTGTACATGTGATTACATGCAGACCTGTTGTTGATGAATTTTCCCAAAATGAATTCAAAGAAAATCAAATGTTTTAAATTAATCGATATTGTAAAAAATAGCGTGTGTATATATATTTCGTTTTGCACGAAATGTCAATCATAAAAGTCGGTTATTCATTATATGTGATATTTTAAACCAAGATTCATAAATTCAATTAGATGTTGCGTTTATAAAAATTCCAATTGCCCATATTTCTATACTGTATTTTAAAACAGGATTAAAATTTTTCAGTTTTTTAATTCAAAAATTGTCGAAGCCTGTATGAATATACATATATATATAAGTCACGATAAATTTTTTTTGCTTTTTTTTCTTATATGTCATTTTCAATTAATTAATAATTTAATAATTTAAAATATTTAATCGTTATTACACGATATTGAAACAAAGGCGTTGAAAGAAATCAGTTCTTATTGTCAATAAAATATCACTTTAATTCGAATATGAGTATTTTATATTCTAATTAGATATCCTATAGCGATTATTCCGGTCAGTTTCTAGTATTTTTTAAACTATTACTACACAGTTAATGGAATATTGTCGTATAATTTGTGCGCATGCTTCCTATAAAATATATGTTCATTTTGCCAACTACTTCCGGTACGTGGAGTCGTCCATTTTTTCGAACACGCGCAATGGGGAAGGAGCCATTTTGTTCGGAGCAGCAACGTGGCAGCCGGCGTTCTCGGTCGTCTTTTCACAATGAGTATTTGTGAGTATTATTTAATGATGTACTATTTTGTAATGCTTTTTTTTATATATAAGTTTGAATACAAGTCTCTATGGATATTGTTATCATTTCTTCGCAAATTCTCGTGTCTGTTTTTTACGTTTCAACTGCTGCCTCCTTGCATGTTTTCCTTTGTATCAACTACACGCTTTTTCCATACTTTATTTTCTTTATTACTGTACTAATGTTTCGATTCCAACGTTTGTTATATTTGTTTATTTTTCAAAAATATGTTCATACGTATGTTTCGTATTTAAATTTATTAGCCATTTTTAACATTTTCGGATACGATTTAAACGAACAGTTTGCGTTCCTATCGGCGCTCCGATATTCCTTTGCGATTCTCGGAATTTTAATATTTCATTGATAAGAGATGTAATTACAAATTGTAAGAGTAATCAAAATCAAATTTTAATTGCTAAAATGATTTTTCAGTTATATCATTGTTGATCACGACTATCAGTATAACAAGTTGCTTCTCGGCCACCGAAATATTACAGTCAACGAGCTCGTACTTGACAAAGGCTGATAGGATTCATTTAAAAAAGATACTTGAACCAGGTTTAACATCAAACGATGTTACACTCGTGTATCATGCAGTTCATGGATATACATTTCTTGAGGAAGTTTTGCCAAACAAACAGGTAAAGAACCTCATTTTTATATTCTAAGACATTTTTATATTCTGCTTGGATATACTTAATATATAGATGATGAAACGTACAACCATAATTGAAATGTAATGATTTCTTGATTAGTCTTGCTGATCAATTTATTTGTATATGGAATTATTTTCTAAGAGTTTTTTATTGGTAATATTCAACAAGGTTTGTATGATTTTTAGGATATTTGTGACTTTTTAGTAAAAGTTATACAAGATGGTAACAACATCACAACGGAAAAAGCATTTTACATTGCATCTACTTGGCGAACTGTTGGAAATTGTCAAAGTAAATCTCCGTCCAATATTATAAAGGTTAGCATTCTTAAAAAGAATCGAAGCTTAAGATAATCAATCAATTTTTAAATGAATAATGATGTTTTAAAACTTTCGTTCTACTGGATTTCTATATTGAAGAAACTCACATTTACTGAAGAAAAGAAAAAAATTTTTACATACGCATTGGTGAAATTTTTTTTATTAGACTTAAAATGCAATTATTTTATTTAAATAGGTGCTCCGTACTGCGATAGAGAAAGAGACCTCGAGTATAATGGAATTATACTATGCAGTAAGCGGACTGACTATTTTGTCAGAAAAATTGTCACGTGATAATGTCGACAACGTAATTAAGACCATACAAAATACGTTACGGAAAGATGACAATTTGTGGAAGTATGGTCTATTCTGTTCATATTTTAAGCTTAATTCAGTCTTTGTCTTGTCAACAATTATCAAAAAAGTTCTAATTTCTTTTAATCGGATGTTTTACGAGCAGCTTCGCCTACACATTTCACATTGCTTCAGACCTTGGTAGTACACTTGGTTTTGATCGTATACAGGATGCAATTGTTCAAGCAGATGAGATAGATGGACAGTATTTACAATTCGAAGGTGGTCTCTCTGTAACTAGTGAGTACTGAGTGCGTTGTGTGACTGGTATTACCTACAATACGTTACAAGAAATAAGATTGACTTCTTAGAAACTGCATTGTTGTCATTAGAGAACACATTTTGTTTGTTTTTTAGGTTCCTTAGTGAACGGTATCTTCAAGCTGTCCAACACATTAAAAAAGAAACCGCCATTAATACCTCGACAAATAGTAAAACTGACCAATTATTTTCTAACTCGACGTTCCGTGCAGACACCAAGAGGCGTTTCAAATTTACTTTCTGCATTAACGACTTTAGCAAATAACGATGTTGAAAAACCAACCTGCATAACATTAGCTAATGAAGAAATCAGCATTTCTACTCAACAGCCCTTGGTGACAATAAAAGTTTGCGACATACTAGGCAATCCATTAAGCAACTCGGTCAAAGTGGTCGCAAATTCTGCAACAAGAGTCGACGACGATATTGTCATATTCAACAAACAAAGTTTGCAGGCTTCGCCTACAGATAAGTAAGTGTTAAAACCTTCACAGCCTTTCCCCATTACTTTACCAACTCGAATTATCTTTTTCAAGTTGGTTATACGTTGGGGTAAAGTGTTCACGTTGGTACTATCTTTTAATCTTTTATTAAAATCATGTAAAAGATCAAGAAGTTCAACAAACAATTTTTCATGTACATATTTTGAATAATATAGAAGGCTTTAAGTATTCTAATATGATTATTAAATTTTAGAACTTTATTTGTAATGAATTTTATGGAAATGAAACCAGAACGTGGATTCTATAAGATATCAGTCACAGCTGGTGCGGTAACGAATACTGTTACAGTAAAAGTTCTTTGCGAAGTTGTGGTTGATCATATGGAAATTGGTACTGCCGACGCCGACCAAACTACTCAACCAAAGCTAACACGGTAATTGAATCGAAATGGTAAATTTAAATCTGCAAATCGTACGTGTAAATATATATATATCTATATACTTAGATATTGATTACAGAGTTCTCTTCCCTGAGAAATTATCACAAAAGATCGAGGCTGACTCCCAACAGAAATTAGTCATGCGATTCTTACTGAGAGATGGTGCTAATAAGAAACCCATGCGTACACATCAAGCATTCGTACGACTTTCTTCCGCGTCCACTTCAAACGATGATAAAAAAGGACACGAAATTCTTTTCGTCGCTGAAACAGATACATCGCATCTTTACAAATTCGATATGGTACGCTAGTAATTTCTATTGAAATTAAAATTTAAACTATCGCGTTCTACAGTTCGAACGTTTTAGCCGATAGGAACTGCAGCTGCGAATTTTGACTATCAAAGTGGGGATTATAACGTGGAACTGATTATTGGTGATGCAGTACTGAGTAATCCTTTCCAATGGACAGTGGCAACGATTAATCTAAAGTTCTCTGAATCATCTTCGATCGGACGAGCAGATAAAAATGCGCTTTACGAAGACGAATCTAATATTTATACGACCAAGCCAGAAATAAAGGTATAACTTGTGTTTTACTGTTACTCGTAATTGATAATTTGAACCATTTTATATGTAACAAACGCTTTGGATACATATTGCAACAATACCTTCACCGTACGCGGTATCTTATTATTCTATGTCTGACAGAAACCAATGCTCGTTAGTGATAGCAATCGTTTCAAGATTCTATCACCTCCTTAACATTGGGAAACAAAACTATTGCCGTCGAAATATATTACGCTAATTTAATATTTTGAAATTAAATTGTATTTAAGACGAATGTTTATATTCGTATATTAAATTGTAGTTTCGACGGACATTTTTATACATTTGAAATTTTTCTTGTATTAACTTTACGATTAAAGTTTATGATTAAATACTACGTTCATTGAGAAGTATTTGTACGTTACAGCACATGTTTCGCCAACCCGAGAAGAGGCCTCCTGCCTTTGTTTCAAACTTATTTACCGGTCTATGTTTAGCACCAATTCTCTTGTTGTTTATTTTATGGGCTAAACTTGGCGTGAATATATCAAATTTCCCATTTTCGATCAGTGCTGTGACGTTTCATCTTGGACTTGGAAGTAAGTATTTCAGTTGTAACTAGCACGTATATTATTGTTGATCATCAACATCACTCGTAGCTTGCCCGATAACTGACGAATTATAATTTTCGGTTAATTTGTTATCATTCGGGCATAAAAAAAAAGTGATTTTTTCGCAAGTGTAATTGCTACCATGTTACAGTTGTAGCCCGATTTTCACGACATTCTATTCAAGAATTGGTTTATACTTGAACGCTACGCCGTAGATTCTATCACTTATAAATAATTTTTACTTATTATAAAGTATTATCAAGTAATAATATTTATTCTTTTTGTGTGTTTTCAGGTATTTTCACACTTTTCGGAATATTTTGGTTAAAGCTAAACATGTTTGTTACTCTTCGATATCTTTTCGGTCTTGGTATTGTCACATTCCTTGCTGGCAATAAAATGTTGTCACGTATAGCGCATAAACATAAATCACGTTAACTCGTTAGAGCACAATAATATTTTTATAATTGTGTTTTTACGAAATTTAAATTATTTTGCAAGGAGAATGAAAAAAAAAAAAGAAACAGGCAAATATAAGACTGGGGCTCCGTTAGTACGAATAAATCGCCGAAAGTAATGAACGAACTGGTGTTTCATCATGAATATCGATCGTAGTGTAAACGACAGAGCAATGCGAGCGATAGCAATACTATTTTCCACTGTAATCGCGTGCGAAATTAGTTGAATTTACGATTGTAACGAATTATCAACAATTGCCATGAACAATTTTATTTGTTCAAAATAACTTGCATTTCATGTTTATCAGTACGCGATATACCTGTTACAATAATGCATAAGAAATTGCGAAATCCTCCGATTATTGCATTTTTGATTCTTTTTTCGATTTAAGATTTCATGTATGCGTAAAGTACCATTGAAAACAAATATAGTCACGTCATTTTCGATGGTGTATAACTCAGTTGTACTTGATGATAATAAAAATCAATTTTTAGTAGATCTTGTGTTATAATCTGTCGATATATACGTGTCAAAGCATGTCGAACCTGTGTCATCGATAAGACAGCGTTTCACCAATTTTCGCAAATTATTCGCTTGTATTATTAACTGATTTTTTTCGCCACGTAGTTCGGTCGTGATTATTTGCGTGAAACCTATTCTACGCCAAAAGTTAATGGTATGTTGAAAGTCTTTTACAACCTAAAAAAAAAAAAAAAAAAAAAATTACCGTGAGAATGGTTATAACTAAAATGCGTATAATGTATTATATCATGCGTATGTGAATAGGAGTGAACTGAGTTGTAACTGTTTGAAGTGGAAGGACATCGTTGTCATCGGTTATTGATAATCTCATGGGATGATTATCGATCATTGGAAGTATTTTTTCATCCTGTGTCTCGTATTTTCGACAGATTTGCATATAACCGAGTATACGTTCTGCTTTAATCAACAAACCTCTCATGTGTTTTACACCACGATTATATTCCTTGGACATTGTCGTTGTTTTATGTTTATCTTTTTTACAACCTAATAAATAACTTGTTATCAAATAATTTATCGTTTTCTCATTGCGAATAAGATAAATGTATCGAAAATATGTACCAAAAATGAAACGTTCGTTCGTTTCTCGATAAATATTGTGGAAGAAATTTGATTCTCTTGTAATTTCTCGTAGCTCAATCATCGATTCTTTTTTGTAAGAATTAATCTTACTACGAAATTTCATAATCCTATCAAAGAGAATCGCGATACGCATGTATTGTCGAGTTATCATTTGTTGATCAATCTGATCCTTTTTCTTGATGATCTCGTAATCTTTTCGTCGATCTTCCGTATCTATATATATGTATGTGTGTGTATACATACACGCACACATATGACGAGAGAGAGAGAGAGAGAGAGAGAGAGAGAGAATATTACAAAACATTCACAATACGTAGAATCTAAATACAGGAGTACATACTTTTACGATAATCGGAAAAAATGTTGCGCAAACCGGTCCATAAATTCTCTAATTTTTTTTGAAGTTGCGTTATAATTATTCTTTTTTCGTTGTCACCATCCTCCATAAATGCGTTGATTTTACCTTACAATTAGAAACTATATCAGACAGTTTAATGACAATGCTCTTATCTTTTTAGTATTAATGACATATAATTATGCGGAAATGATATGATTTGATTTGGAAAATATTTGCAGGTAATATATATATATATCTTACTAATCGCAGTACTTCTTGCGATATTTGATGCATTTTCACCTCGATGACTTACGAGCAAGTTAATTTTTCGCAAAGCAATTTCTTTTTTATTTCGATAATAATTAATATTTTCAAATTGAGAAATTTTATCAGCCAACACTGTTTTAACATTTCCATAAAAGAGCGTATTGACGTCTGCTAGTCGAGTTTCGTGTGCCTCCAATGATTTATCGATTAATTCTACATGAGCGCCGTTTATTGTCCGATGTTGATTTTGAGCTTCTTGCAGACTATCCAATAATAAACTGATGCTGCAAAAATACAGGGAATTTCCATGATGTACAAATTTTAATGGATTGTCGTTCGTCCTACCTGTAGTCCTTGAAGTCAATGGCATGTTCCAAAGTCTGCCAAGTTACATCGATCTTTCTCCAGACATCCGGCATTTTTACGCGTATAAGCGTTTCTCTCCAAAAACGTTGATTGCGTTCCGTATTCAAAGCGCTGAACTTCAGTTCGTGGAACAATTTTTCTCGTTTGACATTTTGCATGGATAATTTGTTGTTGTTGTCTTTACGGATTAATTTGTTCCTTGTTTTTCGTTTCAGTTTAGGAGCCATCTCATCGCTTAAATTTTTATCCCCAACTTTACCTTTCTGAGAATTTTTCCTTTTCTTACCTTCTTCTACGGATTAGGCTATATTCCTGTCGATTCGATTTTCATTCTGTAAACATATGACTCTGTTCTTTCGATCAATCGCGAATATCACTCGCGAATATTATCGGTTTTCTTTTGTCGTTCATTGTCAAACAACAGAATAGTACATCTGATATTTGATGCTTTATCGTATCCCACGTTTTCGTCCCACGACGAGTATTGTCATTTGAATGAAAATTAAATTTTCCTACCATACAACAAGTATCACAAATGTAATACAGTGGTATACACATGCCCTTATATCTTATATCTTATATGTCTTGTGTGTCATATCTTGTAATCACAAACGAGAAGAGAATTCTTCGTTGCGTTACACATTATACACGTAGATAAATGTGTATGTATGTACGTATTTCTTTATCCGTCAATAAGTATTGTATCATTATTCGTTATAGATAGACTAGACATTCAATATTAACAATATCACATATTATATATATATATATATATATATATATATATATATATATATACGTAAATGTTGTACATATAAAATTAATAACTTTAACAGCTTTTTGTAAACAACCAGAGATGTTGTTCCATTACTCTCGATATATGTCACTTTTTCTTTTTTCGCGACTTGTCCAAATTTGTGTGTTGGAATCTTCGATATTATGAAATTAGAGAATCGACTGTTTGTACTGTTGAGTGAAAGCCGGTTAGCAAACAGTCTGGATGTCTTTTCTCCAATTATCGGTGATCTTTTTCGTGAGAGTTTTGTATGATATTATGTATGTACGTCCAATAACAAACAAACAAACCTCTATTCCAGTTTTAATACTAGTTTACGTCAAGATATGATAAAGTATCAAATTTTACGCTCGTGGTGCCAAGTTCTAAGAAAATAAAGCAACGAGAAAATTCAGCAATTTTTGACCAGTCACGACATGAGTTCAGATAAATACGAGAATTAGAGAAGGGGGATACTAACCAAGTAAAGATACATGCCTTTTAATAAGTTGAGGAGAAGGAGAGATTTGCTAAATTCCGGTTTTAAAACTAGAAACCCACAATACCGATATAGAAGGGATAAAATCTGAATTTCTCACACACATATATATATATATATATAAGAGTCACTTGGTTTGAAACATTGCAATACTTTGTTGGTAACGAGTCCGTCAATCTCGGCGAGGTAAGTATTGCCTATTTGTATGTACGTATATATGTGCACTCTTTCAAAAGTTTTAGTCTCATGCACATAACGATTTGTTACGATTCTATTGGTTTATATCCTATTCACTTCTTGCTTTCCTTTTTTTATTTTTCTTTTTCCTTTTCCTTTTCCTTTTCCTTTTCCTTTTCCTTTTCCTTTTCCTTTTCCTTTTCCTTTTCCTTTTCCCTTTCCTTTTCCCTTTCCTTTTCCTTTTCCTTTCCCTTTTCTTTTTTCTTCTCTCTTCTGGTCCCTTCCTCCTTCTATTAATAATCGCGATGAAATGAATTTTGTTTTCTAGATGAAATTATTGTATCTTCTTGTGCTCGTGGCATTGCTTGTTGATTATATTCACACGTTGTCTTTGGCCGCAAGTGAAGAAAATCGTCCCTTTATCACACGCAACGATAAAACTGACGAAGCAAACCTAACCCGTATAAGGAGAGTTGCTTTGCTTAAATTGCCTTTGCTCGCAGGAGCAACTGTAATTGGTAAAAAAGCACTTTTACTCGGTGGTGCTACCGTTGGAGCTAAGGCTCTAGTCGGTGCTGGAATTCTTGGAGCTGGTTTGTACAAAGCTAACTAGTGAGTATATGTATATATATATATATATTTCCAAGGTGTTCTGTTCGTTTTCAAGTGTGTGTTTATTTATTGCATTTCTCGTTTAACACAATTGCATTTTCTGTGAATCCTTTGCGTATGCGTCAGTTATGGCGGCGGTTATGGAGGTGGATATGCAAACTACTATTACGTGCCATCCGCTGCATCAAGTTGGGTCTGACGACTATAGAATACTCACGCAATATGCGATTATGTCAACAATTTCATATTAATCGACGACTAGTTGTATACCTAAATAATTTTGTTACTTAATAAATCGATTTATGGAAGAAATTGGCATCAAGCGTTTATATTTATATTCCAAGAGATATCTACATACATACACTCGATACATACACACATGTACATATTTACATACGATGTACGTGTATTACATAACACGTTGAAATGAAAATGTATAATAATACGTAAGTGAATAACTATAACATTTATCTTTGTCTATGTCTATGAAAATGTATAATTCAAGTGAATTATAAATAAATATAAAATTTGATTTATTACAATTGTTAATGACGGCGAGAACATTAGAAAAAACAAGAAGAGGAATATAGATAAAAAAGAAGAAAGAGATATCTAAAATGTGCGTTGTTTCATTCGCGATATACATACATACATATCGTTTCAGTTGCAGTTTGTAGCTATAAATAATAGTAATAGTCGCATTGAAATTGTAGCAGTTAGTAAAAGTTTTGACTTTGTAACTGGTGATAATTGATCGTTTGAATGACAATAAATTATTGGTGGAGTTCATTGAAATATTCACTGCTCATTTAATTATTGTACGATAGACAAAAATTGGGCAATCGGTTGGTAAAAGAATTTCAAGGTAAAGCACGCAGTTAAAAACGTTGCGAGACGGATTCGATTTTCATCGATGAATACGTAACGATTCGAAGCATTGTAAAAGCAAGCACTTTCTTATCCGTCTTTTCTCTCACTTTTGCAATCTTTTTCTTTTCTTTTGCGTTTGTATTCACTATTCTCGTCGCGTATTGTTCCGTTACCTAATTCATTGAACGATCGACATCTGACGAAAATGTAAGTAAATCGAAAATGATGCGACCGGATTCATTATTATTCGACGACTGTTCGTTAAACTTGCGACATTCACGGTTAAAAGCGCGACACAGTGTTACGTATCAACAGACGTAACATACATACATTATTTGATGTACGGATCAATTGACGCTGTTTTTATACATGTACACACGGACACGCGCTACCATTGTTTCATTAAACTTTTTCTTTCATATTGATACATACATACGTACATACATACATACATGAATACATTCATTCGTATGTAACTATAAATCTTTTATCGTATCAAACTCGCTTGAAATTAATATTAAGTTTAAGTGAAAATTGCTAACGTACTGCAGCAGGTAAATGTACAAAAATGCATGTATGAATTTTCTTGTGCATTGCCGATCAACGATAAGAAGAATTGCAGTTTCGCAAATGCAATTACACGAAATATCTTCCAAGATTAAGCACAGTTCAACGTTTCACGTTTATGTTTCATACGTCAGGTTAATTAAATTTCAAGATCAACGCGACGATAGCAAAAAGGACAGATCCATAGTATAGAGGCTAAAGAAGCTTCAAGATACCAATATTGTCACCTCATCATCATGTCGCAAGTAGTTCGAACGCGGTGAAAACATTTAAGTGTAACATTTAAAAAGAAACTCGAACAGGAGAACCCGAACGCAGGTTCGATCGCCTGAATAGGTGGGAGAATTCGTTGCTTCGAAGGTAGGCAAGGCTGTATATAAAATCAAAGGAAGCTATCGAAAAGGTGTCATACGCATTTACGCATTTACGCATACTACATACGAGTTAAAAACGTACTCTCTGTATACGTTCAACATTGTTCATAGATCCTTGATACGAAATGCAACGAAACAATACAGCGGTAAGAGAATGAAAAATACATGTATAAACGCGCTATAACAATTAAACAATTATTAAATAAGTATAGTACTTTTAATCTTAAGTGGTAATCTTTTTTCCTTCCTTCATGATAGATGCAGTCCATTATCATCGTAATTTTTGCTGTTTGTTGTTATGTCGTACCGTACGTAATAGCTAAACAAGATACTTTACCATCGATAGAGACTAGTTCTTCTATTGTCGATCAGTCTGCTGTCCAAACGGCGATTAACGAAGAACATTCGGATGCTACGTTAAATAGGCAAAAGAGGACACTTTTGTTGAAGAAAAAACTTATCGGAGCAGGCCTTTTGGGTTTTGGGCTGGGTGCCATAAAAGGGTAAAAAGCATTTTTTTTTTTTATATCTATGTATCATTTATATGGAAATTTTATATCTATATATCATTTAGTGGAAAATGAAAATGCACTGCAAAATAGCAACTCGTTTGCATTGATTATTAGCTTATGGATTTGTAAGATTGCATGGATACAACTAATCTTGATATCTACAAAATCTATATGTACATGCATATACGTACGTTTCATTCCATTTTTTTATTCCATCATTTTCAGATACAAAGTTGGTTACAAGACTGCCCCACAAGTTCATCATGTATATTTGTCAGCTCCTCCAGCATCCGTAAAATACGTTGAATACATTGACAAGCCAATTTTCATTGAAAGGATAATTGAAAGGCCAACTCCGGTGTTTAAACCGATACACGTTGAATACAAAGATTCTTCTCCTTATGGGTAAGTAAATGTAAATTATGTATTTATATAGGTACTTGTATATAGGTAATTATGTACCATATTATATTTATGTATATTATACTTTATTAGATAGATACTTATATATGTATAATTCGTCGCGTTGCGTCTTACTGCTTTGATTTTCTTCGATGTGTGGCATGTTACTAATCAAGTTTACTTCTTCATATTTCTTATACTTTTTTATTCAGGCCTTGGTAATATCAAAATCGTCAATCAAGCTGGCAAATAATTATGTGAAAGTTGGCTAAAAAGTTATTGAATAACAATGCAATACTCATCAGAGAATCAGGAAGAAAAATCTGTGAATTGAAAGAAATTGTACTTGTATTACTATTGTTAAAACGTCACGTCCCGTCGTGTCGCGTTGTATTTGTTGGTTCATTTTCACCTACACACGTACACATATGTACGCGATCTATGCAATCTATGCATACGTTCAAATTTTATTGTATAATCGAATAAAATGATACTTGATCCATTTAATTTTATAATTTTAATTAATGATTTAAATAGATGTCATACTTTTCTACTGTAGAAAATAAATTATTGCACTAGAAAAAATACAAAATAACACGAATTATTTTTATTCTTATTCCTATTCCTATTCCTATTCCTATTCCTATTCCTATTCCTATTTCTATTCCTATTCTTATTCTTACTCCTATTTCTATTCTTATTCTTATTCCTATTCCTATTTTTATTCCTATTTCTATTCTCATTCTTGCTCCTATTTCTATTCTCATTCTTATTCCTATTCCTATTCCTATTCCTATTCCTATTCCTATTCTTATTCATATTCTTATTCTTATTCCTATTCTTATTCTTATTCGTATTCCTATTTTTATTCCTATTCCTATTCTTATTCTTATTCCTATTCCTATTCTTATTCCTATTCTTATTCTTATTCCTATTCCTATACCTATTCCTATTCTTACTCCTATTCCTATTCCTATTTCTATTCCTATTCTTATTCCTATTCCTATTCCTATTCCTATTCCTATTCTTATTCCTATTCTTATTCTTATTCATATTCTTATTCTTATTCCTATTCTTATTCCTATTCTTATTCTTATTCCTATTCTTATTCTTATTCTTATTCTTATTCTTATTCTTATTCTTATTCTTATTCCTATTCCTATTCCTATTCTTATTCTCATTCTTATTCTTATTCTTATTCTTATTCTTATTCTTATTCTTATTCTTATTGGTATTCGTATTCGCATTCGTATTCCTATTCCTATTCCTATTCCTATTCCTATTCTTATTCTTTTATTCTTCTTTATATTATTTCGGAAAATATAATAAATCGTAGACATATAGTTTATTTGTTAAATGATTTAAAAGACTTAATATTAAATTTTTCTACAACTTATTATCGATCACAATTGTTTCTTGTACAGTGTATACATCTATGTATACGCGTTGCAAGCGCTGCAATGCAAAAGATTTACTGGTGAAATTTATTTGTTATTTCCTGGTAATTTTTTGCTCACTTATTGATATTGTGAAATGTTCGTACATCTATCACACAAATTATTGCATACTCGCATATAACATATTCATATGTGTTATTCTTTGTTACATTTTATGTTTATGCTAACTTTACGTGTACAACTAAGGTTGTACATGGACACAATTTAATTGGCGCATTAAACATCGCAGCGTTCAATTTATTAATTTTTGATCTCGAAGTACATATTACATTTGAAAAATTCGCCAGTTTTACAATAGACAATTGTACTACGGAAATCTGACGGAGGAGAAACATGCCTACATTTTTATATTGTAAATTTTTGAGTTATTGTCAACGACGAAGAGGGGACGATGTTGTGCACGTTCGTGAGAAAAAAGTAAAGCTTTTTCTCTTATTCCATGGAAACAGTATGAATGGAAATATGGAAACTTGGTTGCTTGTCAAATTGCACGCAATCACATTATAATAATAAAGTTCATGTTATATTTTCTTCACCAGTCTTTCATGATATGAAGGATAGGTATTTCAGCAAACTTTTAGGAACAATCTTAACGACACGATTGTTGGAAGAATTGTGCATTTTAATGCATTTAATGCGCAATGTTTCATTTTAGATTATAATTAATTACATCAGGAAATCTGTTAAAAAAAAAAAAAAAAAAACAAAAAACATATGGCTAATTTGAATTACACTGGCAGTATAATATATTACTTACACCGGTGTAATTAAGTATATTTAATATTTCTCATGCTGAAATCAACATATTGAAGAACAATTTCAATATCTACTCTCAGATGAATTCGTAAAGTTTTCAAATCCAATATTTTCAAGTATGCTGTAGGTTCGCTAACAATAAATTGCTAAAGCAGTATTACTCGTGCTGCTTATTTTTTTAACTACTTTCATGTCACAGAATCAAAATCAGAATGGATTAGAATCAGAAACGGAATCAGAATGAAAATTAGAATTAGAAATCGAATCAGAAACAGAGGTAGCATCAGAGTCACGATCAGAATCAGAACACTGTTACAGCTACGTCGTGCACAGTTGGACCATCGTTGCAACACGAACATCGTTTTAAAATAAAAACAACAAATTTTGAAGAGACAATTTTTATCGAATAATCTCCGTATCTATGATGTAAGCGTAACAGGTACATGTATTTTATGGACACTTATTGTTATCAGCAGCAGAATTTTTTACAATAGTTTTGTCACTTAGTGTCACACAATATCATCTTCTATCTATAATTTTTAACCAAATGTCATATAATCATTTTAAAACGACGAATTATTCTAAATTAAGGAAAACACGAAGAAATTGCAATTTTTTACAACATACGTACCATTGTCTGACATGTACCGTTCCGTATGTTGCATTGCATTAAAGTTTCGCTATATTATATTCGTAATGAAACAAGTACGTTTCTAATATGTATTACGACCAGTATTTAAGTATTAATACATCCGAATCTGTATGCCCTGAATTGCCTTTTTCGTGAAGAACCCTGCTTGACAAGTGACATTACACCACTAGTTCTCTGCTGCTTGATGTGTAAATAATAATAATACTATATCTATTCTACAGACTCACGCACACACCCACACGCACACATGTATATAACATATATATATAACACTTATACTGCACTCATATAGACATTTTTTTTGTTTTAGCGCAAGATTAAATTGTTTATAAATTGGAAAATAAATTGAAAAATTGAAATATAAATTGAAAATTATAAATAAAATAACATATATATAGCATATATAATATATTACATATGTATTATATAATACATAACATATATAAATTGACATTTTTGACACGAACTCTTGTCTAAAATCAATTCGGTAATCAGCTTACCCACTTTTAATAAACATTTCACACGCTATCGACAATTCGACGTGTTCATCACTAAAGAAATAAATAAAGAAATATTTATTACCAAAGAAATAGTTAGAAAAAACAGAAAATTAATTTGTACGTTCTATACATATGCATGCCTACGTAACAGAGATTGTCATACGCGATAAATGGATACATATATGTATGTATATGAACTTTTCGCCATATTTCGCGATTGTAATCAGAGATTAATTATCAATTGATTATCGATCCATTATCAATATCATAAAATTGTAAGAAACAATTATAACTGGATAAGGAATATTTTCAGTTCGCACGACTGCTCTTTTGTTATCATCTTAGAAATTTAACATCTTGTATACAGAGAACATATCCGAAAGTCCACGAATATGTGACGATTGTCATATATTTTGTAAAATTTTAATTGCAAGTGCTCACCGATCGACATTTTAACCAACTATAAAATGGAATATTCTTCAACGTAGCGTTAAAGATTCTACTGAAAGAGAAACAGATGCGGCTTGTCTATAGTGTTGAAGAAGAGAAGCTGGAGTAGATGGTACTTCTTCGATACGTTCCAAATCATTCGCTGCTCCCGCGCTATTTTGCTTGTACAGTCTTGGTACTGTGTTTATGTTTTGCTGTTGCAATGATAGTGGTTGCGGTTGTAGTTGCTGCTGCTGCTGCTGCTGCTGCTGCTGCTGTTGTTGTTGTTGATGATAATGATGGTGCTGTAGTTGCGGTTGATAGTTACCTTGTTCAGTGAAACCGAGGCAAACTGTCTCATCTGGGCGATCTAAACTGAACTGCCTTTTCAAGAAACGACAACCTGTGCTTTTCCCTAAAAAAAAAAAAAAAAAAAAAAAAAAAAAAATGGAATGGATGATCAATTGGATTCATAATTTAAGACTGAGTAACGAAACCTGAGAAATTTGCAGAACAAAACTTGCCATAATGTTCGTTTGGAGAGAGACATCTGTAATGATTATATGGCGTACTCAAGTCGTTCTCATCGATATAACCTATCCTCCGATGTCTTGCCGGACCTGGTCTATAAGGGACTGTAGTTGAGCTTGAAATTGACGTAAGAGAACTGGTAGATGCGCCAAGAATAGTTGTTTCCGTATAAAATATAGCAGATGTTCCTAAAGATGTTTGAGTATCGTTGCAAGTAGTAGTCTTGATAACAGTGGCTGGATTAGCATCATCGCTTTCTCTTTCGCTCGATTTTTTCTTTGACGATAAAATTTCCAATGTGTTAACCATTGATTTCGAAAAAGAATTTGAATCATGCACAGATTGTTCGTTGTGCACAGAGACTGCAACTCTACACGTTTCTGGATTTTTGTTGATATTTTCGACTTTATTATCGTCGATGTTCACATTATGACATTCGTTGTCATAAGCTTCTCCTTTTGTGTCTTCGCATGATAGATCCATGGGCACGGAACTAACGTCTGGTGATACGGTGCTTTCTTCGTTCGTTAAACTCTCCAATATCAAACTCTCGTTCAGCCTTTAGCGTGGAAATTAAATACAGGCAATGTCAAATTAGTTGATTATTCGATGTTTATTTATAAATAGAAGAAGGATCGTTTATAGATTAATATCATTTGTATTCGTGCATTTATTTGTATTTATATTTGTTATGACACGTTACATAGAAAAAATTGTTGTCTACGCGCGCGTGCATATCATCATGTATCCATTATATTATCGCAATCGTTCCGATCGTCCTAATTGCACGTGTAACTACCGTGTTTAATACGTACGTAAAATGCAAGGTATCATTGTTTATAGTTACATTATCTTATTTATTACCGATTTCTGACTTACCCATGGTTTTCCCTGGAGATGGCGGCAGTATGGCAACAGATAAAAGCATTAAAAATCTGAAAAGCAAATAGTCCAAATGAAGATCTACCAAATCAAAGTATACGATGCAGATGCGATGAGCTTTGAATATTCAAAGGAAAATAGAAAAAGAAGAAGAAGAAGAAGAAGAAGAAAAAGAAGAAGTAGAAGAAGAAGTAAAGATCGGTGAGAGACGATTGACATTTAACAATGTCCAATTGGTCGTATTCCTTAAATGTTACGATATTCGATGAAATAAAATAAATCAAATCGATAGAGTGAAGAAAAACGAGAAAAAAGAAAAGAAAAGACAGACGAGGCAAATTAAGGATCAATTTATAGAAGAAATATTTATAAATAAATAAACAAGATGAATACGTATATACATAGGTGCATAGGTAATTTCTTTTTCCTAAAAGATAATGGAGAATATAAATACATGGATATTTATGTATGTATGTATGTATGTATGTATGTATGTATAGGGGTGGCTTTGCAACGAAATAGAAATACCGAACGGGTATAAAGACTTACCCAAGTGGCGGTGGTGCTGGAAGTTCCTTATCGAAACCTTGTTTCCCTAGTAACCAATAAGTAGGCATCTTTCCCTTGCCTTTAACTTCTGTCGGTCCACGGTATTCGATCTGATATCCACCCACCTGAGTCAGTCGATCTCTTGTTGCTTGACTAAGATGAATACGCCATGGTGCACCAGTAGACTCCATTCTCGATGCAGTGTTAACGGTATCACCGAAAAGGCAATATCTTGGCATAGTCAGGCCAATAACACCGGCACAACAAGAGCCTACGTTCACGTAAACAAGATACACCGTTGAAGAAAATATAGGTACGTGCGCATATGGCTATTATGTATGAATATTATGGGTATTATGATTGATAAAATAAATAACGTCTGCTATATAGTGTAGATAGATGATACGATACTTAACCAGTATGAAGGCCAATACGAAGTCTCAGTTGAGTTCTGGGCAGATGTTTCAGTTTGAATTTTCCACTTTGATGTAGTAAATCGAGAGCCATGGTAGCTATTTGAGAAGCATGGTCTGGTATTCTTACCGGACAACCACCTACAACCATATAAGCGTCTCCTATTGTTTCCACCTGTAACGGTGAAAAGGAGAATGTTTCTTGTAAATAAGTATTAATTACGATTTTTACAATTATTAACTATAAGTGTTACACGTTATGTATTGTGTTTATTCTGTCTTTCTTTGTCACCTTATATACAGTGTATGCGTTGATCGTAGCGTCAAAGCAGGTGTATAAATCGTTTAAAAGATCAACTACTTGAAATGGGGTTGAATGCGCGGAGATGGTAGTGAAACCAACAATGTCCGAGAAATAGATTGTTACTTCTCGAAATTCTTCAGGGTCAACGGGCATACCTAGTTTCAATTTCTCCGCAACAGAGCTGAAATGCAAAAGATGATGGCGATGTGTTTGATCCACTGTTAAATTCTGTATTACAGAGAGAGAGAGAGAGAGAGAGAGAGAGAGAGAGAGAGAGAGATATGAGAATAATGATGATATGGTCTCAGGAGTAAGATATCTTCATTTACCTGGGCAACATTCGATTTAATAATTGTTCCGTTTTTTTTTTTTCCATGTCTAATTGTTCCGTACGTTCGCGTATCAATTCTTCCAAATTGTTCGAGTACTTTTCCAACATTTGGAACATCGTATCAACAATGTTGACTTTTCTACGAATATAAATTAACTAGATGTGATAAAATGAACACATCTATAATTATCTGCGTCAAGGTAATCAACAGATACAAAAAAAAAAAAAAAAAAAAGAAACAAAGATCAACTATATACATTTATGTAATATATATCTATGTATTCACCTCCCATGGTTGAGCTTTTTGAAAAGATCGTGAACATCGTTAAAATCGGGTCTCATATCTGGTGCTTCTGCCCAACATTGACGCATAATATTTATCGCTTCCGGTGGTGCAGCGCCTTTACTTACTGACGGTCTAATCAGTGGCGGTGGTTTCATCACTTTTTCAATGATGTCTGTATAGAGGGAGATGAAACATGAATTTCATTACGATTGCATTTTGATTCGACGATTTTAAAATTTTTTATAGCGCAAGGGAAATTTTCACAATGATTACACAGAATTCTCGTTTGTTACCTTCTGGAGACAAAGCAAGCATGCAAAATGGTTCTCCGCGAACTACTACTTCCTGCATAATAATACCAAAACTATAAACATCTGCTGCTTGCGTTCCTTTCTTCCGAAGATTTGGTTGCCTTAACAATTCGGGTGCCGTCCACAAAAGATCTAGACGAAACGCGAAATAGTGTTATTTCCATTGATCTAAGTTCACAACATTTATTGGACAGGTATAAAAAAAAGATTCCCTTATGACAGGAATTGTCGTACCTCTAGCGTTTTTTGTCGAAGGAACGATATTTTGTGCTTCGTAAAAAACAGGCAGTCCGTAATCGGTTACCTTGAGAACCCAGCGAGCATCGATAACGCAATTCCGCGATGTAAGATAACCGTGTACACGTACTGGCGTACTATGAAGATATCTCATACCCTTTAAATAGAAATCGCCAAATTTCAAATTTAATCACACATTTTTCCTTTTCGTTCTTTCTCTTGTACTTTTAAATATTTGTAAATATAGGTACGTTCGACAGACATACAAGAAACTTTGGTTCATGAAATTGATTTCAACTGTTTTATTTACCCGCACAAGATCGGTAAGAAATGATAATCTAAAGGACCAATCGAGTTTGATCTCGTCTTGCACTAGTACATCCTCTAACGATCCTCTTGAACAATATTCGTAAACAAGGCACGGTCTTGTTGGCTCGTTTAAACATCCTATCAGAGGATTCAGATTTTCATGGCGTAGACCATGGATCTATGATCGGAAATGCAAAAAAAA